AAAAGTAGGGAATGTAAATACAGGATAGAAGAGGAAGAAAGAAGTTGAAAAATTTGTAAAAGGGAGATTAAAACTCTGATGAAAGTGTTGGGAGGATGCGTTGCGAGTAAAGGAATGGACGAATGCAGACATAAGGTGAATAATGGATAAAAAAGAATCTTTGGTGAATCTGTTTAAAAATAGGTAGAAAAAAGTTATTATTGTCCTTATGTTGTGTAAATGGAAAAGAGTAGTTGTAAGTTTAATTAACTGTGTTTCTCTGTATTTAAGTGTAGGTACTATTTAAATAAAAAAAAAAAAGTTGAGTAAGTGGGAAAAAGATCGGGTAGCAAGGGTAAAGAAGGAAGTTCTTCAAATTGTTAGCATCCAGTATGTTGTATTTATTATTCTAGTTGAGTTTAGGTTTTAGTTCAGTTTCTCTGTTTATGCAACATGGGCAAGGACAAAGCATGTATTTATTTAGTGTACGTACAAGTACATATAGCCTAGAGTTCAGATAAAGCTACTATTATAAAGGGTATTCCTTTTAAAAATTATACTTCAAGCACAGGTTTATGGAAATTCTAGTGGCACATTTGAAACCACCAATCACACAAACCATTATTTTGAATTTTCAAATTATTACTACCCTACAAAAATAAAGGGATTATGAAATTAGAAAATAATATAATAGTAAGTCAACTTCGTGGAATCATTGATGGAAAATTGTTTTTTGAAAAGAATATATATTTAATTTTTGAACCATGCAGCTTCCATTTAGTTATAAAAAAATAACACTGCCATATTCCTTTGCGAACTTACTCATGCTCTTTCCTGATAAAACTTATTTTGTTTCATAATTAAGGTACTTACAATCAACAGAGTTTTGAAAATTACTATAGTTTGCCCCATTCAATAAATTGTGAAGATTATTGCCCAGACCATTTGAATTATTGTCGTTGGAATCATTTATATTTCTGTTGATTTGGTTAGTTGAAATATGTAATATAGGGGTGTTCTGACTCTTTCGATTTTGTCCATTAGACAGTTCATTTGATGTTGGTGAAGGAGCCTCTTGTTTAAAAATAGGTAATCCGGGAATATTTAAAATTGCTTCACTAGAAGAAAAGAGGATAGATGGAAAACAAAGTCTCGCATTTGAAGACATTATTATAGGCACAAATCAATTATCGTAGGTAGATAGATCCTAATTAGTGAAATAAGATTAATATGCTTTTTATATAAATCCTGCTATTGCTAACATCATTTAAACAGTAGCCTAATTTTTCTAAACATCAATAGGTACCATAAAATTATTATAGACACAAATAAGTTATCATAAGTAGTTACCTATGTAGTAAAATAAAATTAACGTGCTTTTCACCTAAATTATGTCATACTTAGTTATTTGTCATAAATATGCCAAATAAATGTTTATAAAATTCAACGCTGTACATATATATAAATGTTACGAAATACAAAGTTGTTTAGGGTCCTCTTTTAATGATTCTATTCTATAATATTGTTTCGATACTGACTACAAACATTTCTAAACAAAATATAAGAAAAGTATTTGGTCATTTAATCTTCGCAATATACATACATACATACATACAGTGAATACTGAGATAATTGCAAGACTTTTGGAAATGAAAATTAGGTCATTATCACTCATTTGTTCACAAAAGATTAATTTTTTTGAAAACATATTTTTTTATGTTTACTGTGATAATACGAAATTGAGACAGCCAATCGAAAAACTACATTACAAAATTCCACGAACGATAAAATTTAAATTTATTATTTATTTATTAGAAATATCAACATAGCCGCCGTTAGACTGCCGAACTTTGAAAATTGGCTTCGAGATAGTTTCAGCAACATATACGTATATATATTATATGTAATATATTCAATAGCTACTTTTACTAATGTATATGATGGTATATTAATTTCTGAGTAACGAAACACAAATTTCAACAACATTAAGCCATTTCTACAATGATTATTTTAGTAAATACTAATTCACTTCTTCAGCAGTTAAGCGTTTCATGATGAATAATCGTTCATGAAGTCTTTATTAATTCGTTATACGAAGAAATATATTTCGCGAAAAAATCTTAATAAATATACGGATAGGTATACACAAAGTTTGCAACTATCGAATCACAATAATTTCTATTTTAATTTATAAATCATAAAGAATGTTATTTAAATAGTACATTTAAATAACAGTCCGTCAATAATAATTAAGTTGAAACAACTATGTAAAAGGTTTTGCTAGAAGTTATCAAAACACTTCAAAATGTTTCTTTTTTCTTCTAATCCAATTATTTTATTTAATAAACGGTTTTTTACCTTTCTCGAGAAATATCCAAATTTTCATAGTCTTTTTCATTTTTTTTTTCACTGTTTATTACATAATCACTAAAAACGAACTTAAATTCGTTGCTTTAGGTAGTCATTAGGCAGCATACCTTTTTGAAAATATTTTAACTCGTTTATTAAAGTAAAGGTTTATATTTTATTTTCACCAGTAAAAACAAACTAAAACCAGTTTTCGCAATTACGAGATATAATTACAAAACTCATTAAATACAAGAGGATTTGGCTATTTATCTTCCTTACTGGTTTAAACTAGATTTCACAAATGCAGACTAGACCCTTTCCCAACTTAAATTATTAAAATCGTTTTTACCGGATGCTAAGCTTTATTACAAACAGCATTAAATATTCTTCTGTGTGTATAAACGTTTAGGAATGGAAAAGTTAAAAATTAGTCATAAGAATTTTATCTTCCCATATCGATAACTAGATACATACCTCATATTATAGGCATTGTTTGCAAGATCAGTACGTAAATTAGTGAAAGACCCCTCCAAGTCAGCATTTAGTTCGGATATATCATCAATTTGCCAAGCAGGCATTCTTGTAGAACCTTAATGGAAAACAATATTTTAATTTTATAAGTATTTTTATTAATCTTGATTTATTCTTCAAAAATTTCTTAAAACTACAACTGAAATGTTGAAGTTATAGGTATTACTAATATTAAATAGTTATTATATTCTTTTTAATATACTCATAAGCACTAAAGTAAAAATTTAAGAAACAACATAGGAAAAATAATACATGCTATTCTAAAAGATAAAAATCATATCAATATTTTTTTTTAAACGAGAAATATATTCATTCAAGAAGGAAAAAGACAGTGTTAATATATTACAAGATGAAATATTTTATAGTTATTTATTTAGATTATGAATTGAAAACTGTGGCTGAAATAGCAAACCATTAAATATATTTTTGCCCTTTTAAGGAATATTTACTCAATTTAACTATTTTTAGTAAATTTGAAATACTTTTCAACAAAATTTTTGATTTTGTTGTACTTTTACCTACCATTCTGAACATTTTCAGTAGCATTTTGTTTCTCGCTATTAATATTCTCGTTTTGAACCCTTAACTCTTTGCATCCATTTAATGGTTTAAATTTTGTACCTTCATGATTCTCTGAATTTTTTCTTTTTCGCATTATTTTTGGCTCTAATTTATTTACAAAATTTTCCATTTTTTCCTCCTGTATTTTCATTTCATTAGACCAATCAAAATAATCATTATTTTCTTCCATTCCACTATTAACTAAACTACTCCAATGATTTTGGTGATTTGAATGCAAATTGAAAATAGTTTTCGTATAATCGGGAAGAGTATTTAATTCCATATTAATGATGCACTACATATCAGCATTGCTGCTGTCTCGATATTTTACGATTTCTAAAATTATGATAGCTACGCTATTATCACTTTTCTCTTTTCGTTTTCAGTTTGAGTTCTTTTCTTCACCTAATAATTTATTATATGGTAGGCGAGCTTTTGTAAATCTCCGTGATAAGCTTTGCTGACTTTAAAAGATAACAAAGAAAGAGTTGTATAGTTTCTTAATTCCAGTCGTTTCTTGCTGGTGATGACTTTTCACGGAGACGTTGTAAATATTTAGCATTTTAAATTGTAAAAAGAAACATTCAGTATCCATTTACCACAAAAAATGTAAACTTTTTTTTTGAAAATAAGTTTTCAGTTCTACACAAAATCACGATATTAATTCACCATCGACTTCTTCTCCTGCCTTTCTGCCTTTTCAGGCGAAAATTAAAAAATTAGAGACCGCATAACATGTAAATTTATGCACTTATTTCACAAATTCAATATGTAGTGTTTTGTCAAAAAACAAAAATTCTTTCCATTTGAAGGTAAAATGATGTACAAGATTATTCGAATAGGATGCGAAATTTTTACTTCCACTCTGGCAACTAGTACGATAACAACTGACTTAAGTAGTTCTTATTCAAAGAGCTGTTAAGTCTAATTCCAGCGAATTAAATTAGGAAGAATATCTCCGTTTATTAGCTTATATTGCGAGCTTGAGTTTTTAACTGGGTACTTGCAAAATTTAATACAATGTCAACTTCATATAATCTCAACTGCACAGCAAACTCTTGTAAGCAAACAATTCACGCAATACTTGATCCCTAAAAAGAATAAATAAAAATTAGTAAATAACTAAATAATTTAATGAAGCAAAGTTGATTAACACAATAAATTGTTATACAAAATACAAAGAAAACAAAGAAATCCTGAACGTGTTTCAAACGATAATATCACCAAAAACATTTTAATTCACAACCAGATATAATATTAATTATGTATNTAAACTATTATGTAGCCATCATGTCCATTTTCAAAAACGTAAATTCATATTATAGATAAATAAAAACATTAATATAGATTACACTTTACTTTTTGCTACTATTGTGGGCATTTATTATATACAGTGTGTTTACTAAGTTGGCAGCATATGGTAAACTTTTGTATTAATCCTACGAAAACAGTTACTCTACATGATCTAAAACACATAATGACATCATCAGATGTAATAATTTATCAGTCATATTTTTTAAATTAATAGAACCTTTATAAAGAAAAATTATTGAGAATCAAAAAGTAGTTACAAATATCTACCATAATATCTATTGATTACTAAAATTATGATTTTGTATCATTCTTCATATTCTTATTCCATATGAGTGAATATTTGTGCATGTAAATAATACAATTCTGATCAAAGATGCCGTGTAAATGGCATGTTTGTCAGTCTTTCACTGAATGTCAAATATTCATGAAATTTTGTACACACATTTTCAGGGGTATAGAAAGGGACTTAGGGTGCCTTTTATCCAGAAAAAAAGTACTGTTCCCGAAGGACAGAAAAATTACTTTTATATGGTCGTCAATGATGTTTGACATGTATTTAGGACATCAACGCGAGCGAAGCCGCGGGTAAAAGCTAGCAAGTTATACATATTGATAAAACACCGAAAGCAAATTTCCATATGAAGCATTTTAAAAGCTAAAACGTGCTCTAATTGAAGATGTCACTTTGGGTGTCGAAACGCATTTTTTTTATGCAATTCATATGGAATTTTGGATTTTAGGGTTTTATTTAATTCAGTTTTACAGAACTCTATTCGATTGTATTGCATGTAAATTGTCAATAGCATGTAGTCACCAGTAACGGCAACTAAAGTATTCCGTAAAAAATATAGGAATAACTAACCGTTTTGGTATTGGTTTAAGAAATAAACTGTTTTACCCGACCCTAGCTTTGATTTTGCAGTATTCTCTAAATTAAAGGGATGAAATAGAAACCAAACAATTATCATAAAAAAATGTTACTCAGCAATGACTTTATTTCTACCTAAGTTGAAATTATTAAATCAAATTATTTATTAAATCAGGATTTTAACATCTATTTATAAAAAACACTTTAATGAGATAACTCAACCTGACTCGATCACAGTGGAAACTAAGAGGCTGTAAAACTGATGCTGCCCTGATTTGGGTCTAAAGGCCGACGTCGGTTGGACTTGCTTCCTAGCGTTTCCCTAGCACTAGTGGCGACCTTCTTCATCGGAAGACGGAAGAACCTCTGAAGAAGTTCGCCACTCCTGCTAGAAAAACGTTAGAAACCAACTTCAACCGACAATTGCCTTTAAACCCAAATCAGGACAGCACCAGTTCGCCTATTAGCCGTAAAAGCCTTAACCAATTTGTAGGCCACTGTAGTGTGCATCAAGTTTTTCCAAATAGATTATAGTTTTAAAAACTATCCAAATACAAGCAGAAATTAACATTTGAAAATTTACTGTAAAATATCGTATCCCTATTTTTTAAATAGAAATCCAGGGAACAAATAATCATTATCTACAGATCAATGCTATGCCACCAACTTCAATTTTTAAAAAAGTTTGCTTTTAATGAAATTAAAAAAAAAGGTAATCCATTTTACAATTTTCGCTTTAATCATTAGATTATCATTCTACTCTCCTTTTAAAAACTAATTTTGAAAAAATGTATCCAGTCAATGTAACGTGTAAGTGAACATTCTCTTGCCGATAAAGCTGAAGCAGATGTTTTAATCTAAAGTGTACACTTTTTTGCTAATACATATAAATCATCTTCTAATTCTATTAAAATGCAAGAGAATATAAATGGTTAGAATGAAATCAATGCAACATAAATAATTATGGGTAAAAAAACAAGATAAAATATATACCTCTTATAGCTTCACTGATCTTATTATGGGCATATAATGATCAAATCTACTTTTAAACTAGGTACCTAACAAATGAAAAGATTGAATATACATTTTACTTTATTGAGAAAAATCATAGCATAGATTTCAAATATAAATTTAATATATTGAAGAAGACACTTTAAAAAATACTTTTATAAGTAGGTAATTATTATAAAAAAATAAGTATATTTATCACAATATAATAAAAAAATCATCCAAATAACGCCTTACACTCGTCAATTAATAGTCCACCAAATGCCTCAAAATGATGATTTAATTCCTTAACGTTTTGAATTTGACACAACGATTCCAAACTACCTTTACTATTTTTACAGCCAAAAAACACCCTTTTGATGCGACTATGTATTAATGCCATTCCGCACATTAAGCATGGTTCTTGTGTTACATATAAACAATAATCTGTACACAAATACGATTCACTAGCATCAATTTTACTAGAAGATTTTGGAATTCCAAATATAATATCGCTATACTTATTGCGTAAATTGTTTAATAAAATGGTAGGTATGCCCTGGGTATTTTTATCTTCAGTTACATTTTTTGTTTCTCTGTCATCTGTTTTAGTTGTCCAAGCACCACCTTCTTGGGTTTTAGCAACATTATCAATTGCAATCATAACAGCATGTTTACAAGGATTTTCGTTATCATTACCATAACCAATAGCTACAACACAATTAACATTTGGATCGACAACAACTGCACCTACTCTTAAACTTGAATTCGCTAAATATGCTGCATCAATTGCTATTTGCATGTAAGTTTTGTGACATGAAAGTTGTTGCTGACTGAAAATAGTGTTTGTGATAATTTTTTCCAAATAATCGTTTTTATGAAAATTACAGGGCCAAATCGTTTTCACTTTATTATACTGTTCTCTAGTTTTTGGAGACGTGGCAGGCACTGCAATTACTTTGAAAACATCTTTAAAGTAACTCACATTGACGTTCTTCTTCATCAAATAACTTCGAACTTCTGTTACGTTCATGCACATACTCAAGGGAAATAATAATATATTACGTCCCTTTACTCTCTTAAGATGTGCTAATTCAGAAATAGGCAAATTATTATTAAGCTCGACTACGATATTTGAAATGCTTTTAAGGTCACAAACTTCGCCAACCACGACTTCAGTCATCAATAAATCCTTTAAAAAATCATAAGGCAGGATGGGATATAGAAATACATGAGAATTGTTTTCTACAGTAATTTGCTGTGTTATTTTACGGCGCTTGCTCGGAATGTTCATTTCTTTTACGTGATGTTTCTTTTTCTTCAAAAAAGTAATTTCCTTCTTCATACACACAACTTAACAAAAGACACTATTTCTTAAAAAACATATTCAACGTAGCAGACATTCTTAAAATAACGAACTTCGTCATCCAGCCCCTTTTTAACTGTAATTAAAAACACAGCAAATAGATTTTGTAAAACTCATTTTACTTTTAACGTAGTAGGTATTTGAACATCATTCGGCAATTGTACAAAAAAACATACTCAAATTCATACAGACAGTAAAATCCACGTTCTAATAGTCAAAAGAAACCAAGCACTTTGTAAAAGAAAAAAAAAACTATTTTATCTTGATGAGTTTAAAATCCTTCAATTATATGCTGCCAAGTATTTTTTTTATTTTGTGCGAATGAGTTTAAATTAGAAGAGCCCTTTACAATAGGTCCATCAAGGATGTCACTCCGTGATATGCAACCACATACCTTAACATTAAAAATTTTGACCAATACACTGGTTGCCTATGGTAAAAGATCTTAAGAATGTTCTGGCTAAAGAGGATTCAGTTATGCAGAAAAAAATGAATAAAGAAGTTATCCACTCTTTAATGATCTGCAAAGTATTCAACGAATATTAACTAATATTTCCGGAGGTCTCTAAAAAAACCTACCCTTTTAAAACAATGATTTTGTCTAACCATTTTTTGGCTTCAGTTGAAAATAATGACAGTTTACAACAATGTACGATTTTAATTGATAAACGTCATCCTGATTTAAACATTTTCGAGAAATATAATCTGTGTGTATGAGAGCACACCTACTTAAGTCACCATTTATTTCTTTTAACTACCAAGCACTGATAGTACTACTTTGCACAAGATGTTAAGTAAACATTACATTAAGATATTTAATTTCACATAATCACTCAAATATTATTAAAAAGAGAATAGATACAGGCTATCCATAATATCAATTAGGATGCAACATATACCCACACAATATTTCCTAGTGTTTTTTCGACAAAAATAACTAGGTATTCTATCAAGTAGATGTGTATATAATTTGCAGATTGTTAATTATTAAAAATGACTAAATAAATCAAAATAAACAAAAATAAAGTTGCAAAACCAACCGCAACATCCTTTCACCATCTCGCATCAGGTAAATTACTGTTTTTTATATTGAATGACCAATTATATTTTTCAGTAGCAAACTATTTCCTAAAGATGAATTTTGCTTACTGATATCAAAAAACGAAATAAAACCCTAACTGATTATGACAGATTACCTACAGTTTTTCCTTTAAAAATGCAGAGAATATTGCATCAACAAATAAAAAATAATTTTTGTTTAGTAGTTATGTAAAAGCAAATTTAATTACAAAAGTATTCTGCAAAAGAAATCATTTTTAGAAATTACTGCAAAATTGCTGTTAGTACTTTGTTTCAACATGTATACAATCAACTTAACAGTTACAAAAATAATATTACCTATGTTGTTTTAGAATGTAACCCACAACAAAGAATTTCAAAAGTATACATGCAATTACTCAAAATAGAAAAATTAGCCATCTATAAGTTATATAAAGATGAGGTGTATGTTATAGCATATGAATTATTTCTTCTTATGAATTATAACCCTAATTAACAATAATTTTCAAATATGGATATACATATTAATAAAAACTTTCTTCCAGTTGCTTATAATTCTTAATTGAAGTATTCTGAAAATGACCTCCAAACAATCAAAATTACTTAACCCCAATTAACATCAATTTGTTATTGTATTGCACACAACGCATCTTTGTAAGCTATAATGTCTACAAATGTAGACAAGAAAAAGGTGCACAATTAAATAATACAATATAATATAATCCTTACCTTTCTGTCGTCAACGGTATAGGTATTACATTAAACAATTATTACAATACTTCCAATGCATCAACAAATAAGTCACGTTTTATTGGACCAAATAATAAATAAAAATTTATTATAATTTACGATAAGTTCTTACGAATCTCAATAATACACTTGATGATAAAATCTAAAAAGGAAATAATTAACTGGTGTAAATACGAATAGACTTATATACCTAGTAAGTGAACGAATGTATGTGTATTTCTTTAGTTTTATTTAAAATAATAAATGATAATTAAATTAGTCTTCTTAAGCTGGGATTCTCTAGGCTATGGCTCGTGTTTTGTCATGAATTTTAGCCATGCATCTATTTAGCTTAACAAGGGACTAACCGTAACACCAGAGGAGTCACGAACATAACCGAACATAAACCGAACGTTGAATGAATTTAAAAAAAGGATCACAAAAGGATATGATTTTAAATATTACAAATTAGAGGAAAACGAAAGGAAGTGACTCTGAATTCAATATCAGATACGTAGCTGCGCGTCCAACGGCAATGGTCCTTTCCTTTTTTAACTTCAATTATATTCGAAACTTCTCCGAGTGTGGTGGGTAGACTTTTAATAAGTACAAAGTTCATCGAATACGTCAGGAAACGTCAGATCAAGTCAGCTGAACTGCACAGAACGTACCGATGTTGCCAATTTGTTAAATTCCAAATGACTTATCAAACATACTCGATTCTGCCCATGCTTTGACACCAATTAAAGGGTAGAGGTAAGGGGTAGTGTCTCATATGGAAGAAAAGTTGAAAAAGTGTCCAGCTATAAGCAGTAAATAAAAGCTCAAATACCTTCCAAAATGGCGCTAACGTAGTCACAGGTTATGGTATGACTGTAGCCGTTGTTGACGGATTGAAGTATGCCGAGTCAAAAAATTTAATATTTTTAGTGATTAATGTGGTTAGTGACAGTCCAGTATACTTAGTTCAAAGTAATTTTATTTTATTTATTTTTCTATCCTAGTTTAATAACTTTTGACACTATTTGAAATTTACCCTGTTGCTACGGTGGCTCCACCCTAAGAAACATTCCAATTTTTTACTGCAGCCCTCCCCAATTACAAATTCTAGATCCTCCACTGGTGTAGTCATAGACATATATAAATGGATGCATAGACATAAATTAATGGACCTTAGTCGTATGTCGTAATAATTTCTTGTCTCGAAAAGTGAGGGAGATGGCGTATGGTTTCGGACTAGTTGGGACTAGTGCTACCTCTTTCATGACACGCTTACGCACTATCATAAGAGAGATGCATATTGTCCGAAACTTCATTCCATCTCTTTTGTTTTACCACAATTCTGACCGCTAAGGCATGTCCATTAAAACGTCGATGACTGGACGTGCTTTAGCCGCATGTCGTTGTAATAATTTCTTGGCTCGAAAAGTGAGGGAGATGGCGTATGGTTTCGGACTAGTGCCCTTTTATGACACGCCACGCACTATCGTGAGAGAGATGGATATTGTCCGAAACTTCGTTCCTTCTCTTTCTTTTGTTGTACCACTATTCTGGCCGCTAAGGCATGTCCACTACTAAACGTCGATGGGTGTAGTGTTCATATTCTATGAGCATTTTTGTTATCTATGGTTTAAAAATCTTCAAAAATGAGTCGCGTGAATCTTTCACCCGATATAACTAACGCGCTGATTTAAGTTTTACCAATAAATTGTCTTTTGCGGGTTCTTAATATGTAAAATGCATAATTATGAGTCCATTAGTCTTGTTAAAGAAAGAAAATACTTTCGGGTGCAGGTAGAAATTCAATGTCGATTTATTTAAAAATTACTGAAGGTATCATAATTTAATTTACGTTAATCGATTGCGCGTTATTTGTGTTTGAAAACTGAATTATTTTGATAGGCGGAATTCATTTTTATATTATTTATTGGTAAAAATTACATATATATTTTTCATTGATATTTCTAATACACATGCTCCATTCGAGAAGCATAGATAATAATATAATCATAGATTGAAGATTTATAATTTCTCAGCTATGATGTGAATAATAGTTTCGATTCGCGCATGCGTATGAGTAGCGCAATTAAATATGTACAATTTGTAATTATTATTAATAAATAATATAAAGATAAATTCCACTTATTATTTATTGATATTACAATAATAGTCCAATCTTCAGGCACAATGACATGCAATCAATTGGAGTCAAGTAAATTATCATTATAGTAGTTTTTGAATAAATTGACGTTTAATTTCCACCTGCATTCAAAACAGAATTAATGGACACACAATTATGATACTTACATATTTAGAACCCGCAAACGACGCACAATTTATTGGTATAGTTTGAAAAGTGGATTATTTATATCGGGTGCTAGTTTCACACAACCTTGCGTAACGGGTTGCCATTATAAGCCACTATACACTGCCTCAGGTTAATAAGAGAAAATTAGTTTCTATTTTCACACCCTCGTTGGGAATGCATTAAACTTAAGCATCAAAAATAAAGTATTACTCTGTTGTATCTCATACAAACTAAAAATAAAATAGAAAAATAAAGTATTTTCAGAAAAATGTTTTAAAACTGAATGTTAAAATTATTCATGAGCGAGATAATTTTGTGTTATTCAATTTATTTATATACAATAAATTTAAAAACTAATTTTAGTTTAAAAGCATTAATAACAGGTGTAAGCATGCAAGTGGTAAAAAAACATTAAGTAAATGATATCCACACAGTTGCTTCAATTCAAACCTCGCGCGATGTTAGGTTTCATTAAAACTCTTTAAATGTGCTCATAGAATATGAACACTACACAAAAGTTGTCGAGCAGCCAATGACACTACATGGACTTCCCTTCTAGCGATGTCCGTAGGAAGCGGACAGAACGAAACCCGTTTCTTGCCTTTGGCGAGTTAAGTCAATGGCCCCGGACGTGGGCTGGATGGGCGGCGAGGTGGAAGCAAGCGTCGGCGGCGCGTTGGTGGTGAACCAGAGAACGCTGACGACAGAGCCTTATTATATCCGGAGTAGTCCGTGGCTGATCTAGTAGTTCTGTAGGCTGCAAAGCTGCTGCGACATCGCATCGTAGTGCAGGTCGGCTGCTTCGAAGTAGGCTTCAAGAGGACAGAAGACAGTGCTTCTAGCCAAGGAATGTCGGTGCAGCATATGAGACCGGTCTTGAGGGTTCGGTGGAAACGGCCACTACGAGAATGTGGTCAAACGACTGTCCGTTGTGTCGAAGTTGCCCAGAGCTGTGCGATTGTGCCTATGGACCCTTGCAAGCTGACTAAATTTGCATTGTTGGGCTCATCGAGTCGTGTCGCTGCACATCTTGGACCTTGTGAATTTCTCGACGACGAGGCGCGCCGTTGCTGTGGCGCTAAGATGGGAGAGGTTATGCAAAATTTCGAAGGCGGACTTGCAGAGCTTCTCGTGCAAATACGACATCACGTTCCCTGTCGAGATGTCGCATTGTATGCTGTGGCCATCGACAATCAGCGAGTGCAAGATAAAGCGAGAGTCAGCGGATGCAAGGTAAAGCAAGGGTCATAGGGTCGTCGAGCAGAGGCTCCAGTTTGGTGTCGTTGACCTGGGCGTTGGCAATGACCTCCGGCTCCAGGATGGAGGGCATGACCGCGGCGTTAATACGCGAGAGCGTGTCAGCTACCACGTTTTCATTCACCTTACACATGAGAGAGGATTACTTAGTGCTGCAGGGTGTAATCGAGATGTCAGATCCGTTTACCTGAGGGCTTGTCCGAGCGCTGCTCGATCTCGGAAAGCTTCCTTGAAAAAAAGTGACCTCCAAGTGTCACGTGGGTACTCCTGCGCCAGTGCTGCGCCTATCGCGGTGTCGGAGGGGTCGGTCCTCAGGGCGATCGGAGCGTCAGGCCTAAGGAAAGTTGTCGTGGCTGCATTCGCAAGGGCGTCTTTGCATTACTGGAAGGTGGCGTCGGCCTCGGGCACCCAGGAGAGCGGGGTCTGCAGCGTCTGTAGAAATTAATCATACCCAAGAAAAGTCGTAGGTCGGAGGAATTCTCCGGCTTAGGGAATTTCCGAATGTCCTGAAGCTTGTGGGCTGGCTGAGGGACGTCTTAAGCAGGGACGGAGTAACCGAGATAGATTACTTGTTCTTGCGAATCGATCGTGCAACACGTGGTCCATCATCCGCTGTAGTGACTGGACGCCGTTTCGTTGACCCATGACGGACCTTGTAAACTCGTAGAGGTCAAACGGAGTCTTCACGGTTGTCTTTGGGATGTCCTCCTGACTGCCCGTTAACTGCTGCTGCGCGCGTTGGTCTGTGTATGAGGGGTCTGTCGCTGCGGCGAGGCCATCGGTGCCGATGCGCTCTGATCGGCCTGCTGTTGTTACTGCACGATTGACAGGCTCTACTGCAGATGCTCCTATTTTCTTCTATGATGTCAACGCTCATAGCGCTCCTCGCGCGGCGTCGTCTTCTCGCCAGCGTTTTCCAGGGTTGAAAATTTGAAGATGCCTACGTTTGTGGCGTACGTGACGCCCGGCGGTTCGTTGCCTCCTTGCCGAGAGACAGAGAGGGAGACAGAACAATAATGCGTAAGTGGCTGTGAACACGCGGGCTAGGGCGTATGTCGGGCCTAACACGCACACACTCGGCGCGTTCGTTTTTATTGAAATTGTGTAATGAGAGGCAGCGAGAACAAAGAGAAAATGTTAATGACGTTGAGCTCCCTTTTGGCTGTGCCACTGTGTTATGGTTTAATAAGAGAACGAGCGGTTGGGATGCGATTATTCGACATGTTACACGGGTCTGGTTTGCGAGGACCGCGCAGGCTAAGTCTCAGCTCTTGCCACCTAAATGTAAACTCAGATAGTTACTTCATACAATTACAGAGAAATAGAATACAAAAATCCGAAAATGGTTGAACTTGAGGGGGCCATCTCTGTTCCTCGAAACTAGTTTTAAAAATTTCTGAACGGTGATAACATTTGATCGAATCATTATAGCATAATACATTTGACATTGTTTCAGAGATATTAAAAAAATGAAATTTATTTTTTAGATATTCTTAAAAACTCGATCGATTCGGTACAAATTTTTAAAGGTAAAGATAGCGCAATTCGAACACGCAATGTCATCTGAAGTTTTCAATTTTCATAGCGAAAAGTTAAAAATTATGATTAAATTCTTATCGGGTTGGCATTTTTTTTACTAAAAATAGCAATTATTGGAAAAGTCAACAGCATTTATAAATTAGCAGATATGGAACATAACGTTATTTATTCACACTTATATTTCTGATGAAACAGAACGCATTACGTCATTAAATCCCCGATGTGTGCTCCGTGCTCCCGGCATCATATTTCATTGTTTATTCGGTTTATATTCCCGTCGATACTCTAATGTCTAGTTAGTGCAGGTTTATAATATTACGGTTTCCTTGCAAACCAAACCCTTGGACCTAGATAGCTGAAATTTTGTAATGAGGCTCCCGTTATGTTGTAGACAAGA